TTACATAAGTTTATATTATATTATAAAAAACAGAACTGATTTGAGATAAAACGTTTTATGGTACCATATAAACAGACTTCTCTGCATAGAAAGGTTCATGAATAACACACACTATCATCTTTTTTTGACACACTATACTCTATGACACACACACAGAACAGCCATATACTTTTTCCACAGTACTGTGCTTTTTCTTAGGCTTTCTCTATGTATAAAGCCAGAGAGTTGTCTCTGATAAAGCAACATGCATAAAGCGCGCTAAAATATTTAGTTTTAGGTTAGGTTAGCAAGGCTTCGTTCCACGGAATGTTGCCAGCTTTCCGCTAAGTTTTGTTTGTTGGATCCAAAAATTATTACGAACAATATAAACGATTTAAAATTTCATTGTATTGAAATAAAAAAAATAATTTAAGTTTATTAGCTTAATACTTAAATATTTTTTAATGCTTTGTAGGTCCGGCAACGTCGAATACGGTGTACGAATTCATGTAAGTGCCGGCAAATTCAAATAAATTATATTTTCTTGTTCTGTTCAGAATTTCTGACCGTGTATGATTTAAGGGTTATATTTTTTTCTGTATAACATGCACATGTACATTTTACATATGTAAATAAAAAGCGTATAGCCTTAGAATAAGAGAACCACATATATTTCTAAATTTTGCTAAATAAAATATATTATATAAAACCGGATAATATTAATTAGGGGTCGTCAATAAAATTTATTAATATTAATATTTAATGATGTCATACAGTTAGGGGGAGGGGGGTCGTCGTAAATGTGAGAGCCGGGGATCCCCGGTTTAGCATGCTGCAGCAACCTAGGTTGTGATGTCACATTTTTTGGAATTTAATTAATGTTTATAAACAGGCTTTTAAGATTATTTTAAGTAAAACATTCGTGGGATAGACCTTAATTAAAAATATCAGTGTGGGGTGACGCTAATAAGGAGTGGGTCCCATAATGTGTGACCCTATGTGACAATTGTCCCCTTAAGGGGGGGGGTCAAAAATATCAAAAAAAAACTTGTGACATCATTTATGGACGGCCCCTTTTAGTAACGGTAATAATTCAGCAACCGAACATATATGTATAATATACATATACCTACCTATATCCATATGTATAATATATAGATCCATGATAAAAAAAAAATTGTTATAAATTTCAAACTGCAAATGAGTTTTTAAGAGGTTCTAATAAATACTAATAATTATTTACAAGATTAGTAAGGTATGGAGATAAGCGGCACACATTTTGTTTTATGTACATTTTTAAATATTATTTAAACATTTCGGGAATATTAAATTTTTAATATTTTTTATAAATAAAAAAACAAATATTTACTTTATATTACAAAGTGAATATTACTTTTCAAACAATTAAATAATATTAATTAAATATTTGATATAAATATTTTGTGGCAAATATTTATTAAATATTTTTTTTAGATAAGAAATATTTAAATAACATATAATATTTGTTTAATATTATAAAAATATTTAGGAAATATTTGATGCTATTGGGGTTTATTAATAAAGTAAGCATATCCATGTATTATAAAGTTCCTACGTAGGAATACCTAATTGTATTAGGCTAATACCTACCTATTTAGGTACTATTAATAAAAATTTGACCTCGTTTTTTTTAAAACAAACCACGTATTCGGACGGGTAATTTTATGGGGATTTTCATGTTAAAGTGGGGGGTAAAACCGGGTATTCTGTCATAGTGGCGTGGGTAATTGATAATTTCAGTGCGGCAACGCTGGGCTTGCTAGTAAAGTACTTGGACGAGTTCACTAGCATGTCTAAATGAGCCTTTACTTTAGCCGTTTTTTGAAGTTATTGGCGTGTTGAGTGTAAAATTTTAGCAGGCGACGAAAGTGACGTCCAAGTTAACGACACCGTGGAGTTAGACGCCATAAGTAAGAGAAAGATGAAAATAAATTACCTAGGCCGCCCTAAGATAACACGTGGTTATGGTTGCGTTTTGTTTACTAAGATCTCAACTCACTTCAGTTAAAGTAAGCTGATATTTAGTGAAGTGAGTAAGCGTAAAAATAAATAAAACATTTTTAAAGTTCACTTAATTGAAACGCGCATATTGTTTTGTTATGTGGCAACACAGAACATAAGTAAACTTTTCAACTTAACAAAAATATTATTAATTTAAATTCATAGAACAACATTGAAGCTTCGTTAAATTATGAATAAAACATTAATGAACATTTTATTTGATGAAGACAGATCAATTTGCAAATTGATATGAGCTGAGATTAACTGAGTCAAAAAGAACGCACCTTATATTTAAAAGTGTTTTTTGAGGTAATATATAGAACATTTATGTGTATATTTAAATGTTTATACTTAAAAGTGTTTTCAAATATTTAAAGTAAGTCTTATTAAATTAATAAAACTTTTTTTACTGACAATGCGATTCATTTTAAGATGTTTTTTCAATGAAATATTTTGTGAATTATTGCACAAACCATCTTAGAAACAAATGTCGTATTATTGATTAGTATTGTTTTGTCTAAAACGAAGGTGTCTTCAAAACACCTGTCATAAAAATTTTTTAGATACTTTATTATTTGTCACACTTGTTTTTATTTAGGTAGCCCAATATGGCGGAATTCTTTGTAACATTAGGCGGCGCAGAGAAACATGACGTATTTGTATGATATACAACTCCGTCAGAGCTGGGCAGTAATTGACTTGAAAGTGCTTGAAAAAGTGCTTCAAGCACAATAGTGCTTCGAGCACAGTGCTTGCAAGCACTTTTAAAATACAGTGCTTGGTAATTGGTAATTGAAGCCCTTTATAAAAAGTGCTTGGTAATTGGTCATTGAATTTCGCATTTCAAGCCATTTGAGTGCTTGCAAGCACTTAAAAGGCTTGCAAGCACTTTAAAGGGCTTGCAAGCACTAAAGGGCTTGCAAGCACTATCAGATTTGAGGGCTTGCAAGCATTTAAAGTGCTCCCGAGCACTTTAGACTCTAGAGGGAAATGCCCTTAGTAACAACCCTGTGGTTTCATCATCATCTAAAGCGGTGTGCGGTGCAGCATAAGCTTTAATGTGATTGGTTGGTTGAAGGCCGACTTGGCCAGTACTTCTTATTTTTTGATGATTTCTTCACTTTAATTGTTTTGCGTCATGTTGTGTGGACTAATAAATTAAAAACAAAAAACTTTGGTTTGGTTTGGTTATTTTAATATAACGATCATCCAAAAATGTTTCTTATTTTTAAAATAAAGATGTTAATTAATTGGGTATACCTTTAGGAAGCAATTGGAAAACTAAAAAGTGCTTGGTAATTGGTAATTTCTTTAAGAAAAAAGTGCTTGCAAGCACTTTTTGAGTAATTGGTGCTTGGTAATTGAATTTTTCAATTACTTTTCTCGGTAATTGGTAATTGCAAGCACTTAAAGTTTTCAAAGTGCTTGATGCTTGGTGCTGGCAATTACTTTTCCAAAGGGCTTGGTGCTTGGTGCTCGAAGCACTTTTTTTGAGTGCTTTGCCCAGCTCTGAACTCCGTCACGTTTTTTAAATACTATGTCACAATAATTTAGTAGAAATAAAAATGCAACTCTAAGATATTATATATTGGATTATTATATTGGATTATTATAAAAAAATTTAAATTCTAATTATTAGACATTTTTGTGTAATTTTTAAAACTTTATTTTATTTTATTTTATTAAAAACATATAGAAAAGTGCTTTTTTAGTTCAACCCTTACTTCCTAAAAAGTCCCAGAAGCCCTGCGAATGGCTTGTACGGGTTAGGAGTAGGAACGTACCACGGGATTAAAGTTCCCTCCGAAGGACTAATACATAATATAACAAACACAAATAAACAACCATACCAATTTGGGACTCAGCTTGTAGTCAGCAGCACTGACCACTAGTCAACCGTCGGCGGTTAATTAATGACGGACTTTAGGAAGATATCTTAAAATGTGCACTGTGGCCACCATGTTCTTAATATTCGGCCCTATCAAAATATAAAAGAATGAGATTTTTCGTAAACTAACTTATGATGGTCCATTCTGTTAACTCATGAAGTGGCCTATCTGTATATTTCATAGCACAGACAACACAGCAGACTTTAAATATATATAACGTCGATATAAATAACTGCCTTGCTCAGATCTGCAGTCTCGGCAGAGAACACTGAGGTCGGCTTTAAAGGGCTCTCCACCTGTAAGATAATGAACTATTTTCAAGCATTCTATAATAATTATTTATACTTTATTATTATCCACAATCCCCACTAATGTGATTATCGTCTAGGATGTAAAAATAATTTAGACTTATTAGGTAAATTTGTTTAACTCCTACCAATTAAAAAATTAGACTACTGTTGGATCTACCTAATTTTACCTTCTACTTTTAATAATTATTATTATAATTGTATGTTGTATGTATTAACAAATAAAACTGTGCCTGAAATAAATAAGAAGATAAAACATTGTATGTATTTTTAGTTTATTTTTTTAACAATTGCCTTTTGCACCATCTAAAAATATACCGATTTGCTTTTTTTGAATCTAAATTTTTGCTAGACTTCCTAGAAACTTTTTTTAGCCCGGCACTCATTAAAATTCATCATTTATGTTTTTTGTATCAACCTATTTGTATTAAAAAACCAAACAATATTTTGCTTAAGCTTATCCCAAAGATTGGAAATTGGAGGCTGTTCCATTGTAGGTCTATTGATATCGATAAAAGCTTTTTGATTTAGTTTTCTATGAAATATATTTTTTAAATGTAACATATTACAATTTTTTTATTTGTTTTCCATTTTCAATATTCATCAAATTGAAAAGATTTTATTTGTTAAAAATATTAATTATATTATATACCGGTCTGAATATATGCCTTATCATTAATTAAAGGGATTTATTTTATTAAAAACTCATTTTTATAGTGTAAATAAAAAAGAACAAAGTAAAACATAAAAAATATGCAAATTTTATCGTAAATATTTGTTTCAGCCGTTCCAAAGCCATCAAAACTTTCTAATGGATTATCAGGAAAAGGTGAGCGAGTCTCCACTACCGTGTTTTTTTACAGTTATACAACATGTATTTCCATAGGTAATGTTATTTAAAAAGTAATTTAATATGCCTTTAAGCAATAGCACTGTGTAAGTTTTTTGCACAATATTTTAAATGACTTTGAAAACAAACAATTTTTTTGTGATTTTTTTTTATAATAAACTAAAGCGTTTGATTACGATTAATTTATGAAAATGATAGGTATAGTGTAAGAGGCTACAGTCCTACTTGACAGGTAGAACATAAGGTATACACTGTACAGATCCATTAAGATTTTATTAAATATCTATCTGACACGAAAAGTATTGAGGTTAGCATATCTCAGGGTAGTATCCTTGGGCCTCTACTCTTATCATATTTGTAAATGACCTATATGTGACATTACAGAAACAAGGTCAGATATAAGTAAGTTTTGCTGGAAACTTTTTTTAAATGTTTTGATACATTTAAGCTCGGAAGATTCTCTTGTATTGGAGGCAGAAACACTATTCTCATTTATAACAAACTGGTTAATAAAAAATCAACTAATACTGAAGGCAAAACAAATTTAATAAAAGTAATTTAATTATGATTATTAATAAATTAACCTTAGAAGGCCGAAGACGTTGAAGATGACGAACGCCTCGGAAGCCCAAGCACATTAACAACCGATAAAACATGCTAACATTCCTATTCCCCAAAATAAAGAGAACCTTAAAGGGCCGTCGTTTTGCAAGCATAAATTACATTAAAAGCGCATCGCTGAAAGAACTAAAGACTATGCCAAAGATTGTGTTTGAGAAGAGTTTAGAGGATTAGAAGAAGCGCTGGCACAAGTGCATAATATGTAATGGGGACTATTTTGAAGGCCGCATCTTAAATAATTTTTTCAAAAAACGAAAATTCCCGTTATTTTCTGAACACACCTCGTATATGTAGAAGGGAACCTAAACTGGAGCTCACACGTGGGTCATTTGCGAACTAAACTAGTTGTTAAGTATTCGTTGCTGATATTTATTTGGATGTAAACAATATAGGTAGTTTATTTCAAACATTCAAAGTTTACCAAGGTACGGAATTATATTTAGGAAAAATCCAAAGAGATTGAATCTGTTTAAAAATGTCAGAAGTCATACAAACAATTTAAGGACTATCTTACAGACCCTGATGCAGTAATGTCTTCAAATCAAATAACGTCCTTTTATTAAAAAATATATAACTATTTTAAGATTTAGAACCAAACTTAAATAGAATAATAGATTAGAATGTACCCAAACACAGACTATCTACATTTAAAAAAGGAAAATACTCTTGTGTGCAACTTCATAACAAATTGCCTACAGGTTTAAACAGGATGGGAATAAGACCGGCTTTAAAAACAAGTTATTTTAATATACCATGTAAATTATATGATGTAATATATTCACTGGATGAGTTTTATAAAGCGTGTTTAATCTATTGACTAAAATGTAGAGTCTATAGATTATAGGTATACCTATTCATTATATTGTGTTCATTTAATTTATTTAATTTAATTTCTTTAAATATTAGCACCTCCTTTTAGATTTTGATATTAAATTATTTATGTGTTTTGTGACAAAATTTCATTTAATGTATTTATTTACCCTGTATTCTCGAAATAAACTTATTTATTTATTTATTTATCCTGTGGGGTACATCAGCAATAACAGCGCATGTTTATTAAAATCGTACTATAGTCCTATCTTTTCTAAACATTTTTTTTAACGAAGATACTCTGTGTTTTAGCCAATTGGCTCGTATAAGTATTCGAAAAGTATTGCGAACGGCTTTTCTGATTTTGATGTTTTTTTAACTGTTTGTTAATTCCTCAATGACGAAGCTGTTGTATACATTTTAATTTATATTTAAATTTAAGTATATACAGGGTGCAAAATTAAGACGAGTTTTTTCCCAGAAATTTGTAACATCCTGTGGGATGTATGAGCAACAACAGCGGATGCCAATTACAATTTTACTATAGCCTTATCTTTTTTTTTCATTTTTTTATTTGCGTTATTTTCTCTGTTATTTATAAAGATACACTGTTTTAAAGCAAACACACCTTATAAAGTCTTGCATGTAGAAATAAATAAGTGTAAAGTCGAACGCTAGAACGGATGTCAGTTATTTTTAAATATGACACTAAAAGTTGTCAAATGAGAAAATTCTGTGGCATTAATTGAAGCTGTTATATCAGCTGTTATTGCTGATGCACCCCACAGGGTGTCATAAATTTTTGGAAAAACTTTTAATTAATTTTGCACCAGGTATATGCCCAAATTAAAATATAAATAAAAATTATTATCTTAGTATCTTAACTAAAGATTTAACCTAACATTTAAATAAAAAATCTTTAAAATCAGATGAGTGGTCCACGAAGAAATCTACATTAAAATTCGGCCAATTTCTGGTGAGCGATTGTTTTGGCGGTGAGTGTGTATTTTATAGGATTTTTACAAATACTGCAAATTATTCAGATCATCATTAATGAACACGCTAACGATGACAACCTCGGAGATAAACCGGTTCAATTAGTCGCACGATAAATATAAACATATAAAGGACATCCCCTATGGCAACTTCTATCTCGAATCAGCTTTTCAGTAACCTTTGGAGGAAGGGGAGCATTAGCGTACCTACGCACGCCACTAATTTATCCTGACGAATAATTAATTTCGAGCTAATGGATTGTCAAGAGCAATGCGATGCAGAACAAAACATGAATAGCCATCTTCGCGTAATAATAAATTAAATTTGCCCGGGTGATGGCAAATTAAACCAAACTAATTTTGTTCGGAAACAATGTTAAGTGTCGCCAGTTAACGGCAAAAAGTTGAAATATTAATAAAGCCGAATGATCAAAAACAAACGTGAACAGAAGGAATTTAAAACTCTAAAGGCAAAAATTATGAAGTGAAACCCTTTATTATATAATTATTTTATAATTACTTTCTTAAAATGAAATAGTCAAAATTCTACTATTTAATTCAAATAGTTCAAATAATTTAAATTAGTACCATCATTTTTAACTAATAATAAAGTCGTTTTCACTTTTAAATAGATATTTTTTACTATTTAAATGGTTAAAGTTTGACTAATTTAAGATTAGTCATCATATTTGACTATTTCTGAGAGTTAAAAGAAACTAATTTCTTTAATCGTTTGCGGCCCAACCACAAATTATTGTTTGAGTTAAAGGCCTATAGGCCCCATGGTTAAATGGCCCATAAAAACAAACAAAGATGCAAAAAGGTAAGCTCAAAACAGCAACACAAAAAATGTATTCAACTTTAAAATATTATGAGCAATATTTTTAGACAAATAAAATTGATTTTTATAATACTGACTGATGGCCAATTTGGTTATGACATACGCTTGTGACAAGCTTGACAACCGACAGACCGGCTTGGTCAGAACTTTTTTTAAATTTAAATCTACTAATTTGACTATTTTATTCAGTAGAATTTGACTAATTATAATTAATTAATAATTATTAGTGACTGCTTTTTCGCTATGACAATTATAATTAGTTATTTTCGCCTAATTCATTTTAAGATAGTTATTTTTTTAATAAAAGTTTTATATTTTAAACGGTGTTTGTACGAATTATTATTATTTCATTAATTGGTTACCAATTAAGCTTAAGTATACTTATAAGTATACTTATATGTATAGTCTTAAATAAATGCAATGAGGATGATTTTATCACCGTATGTTTCTCAGTTTACAAAACTACAATGGATTTTGATTATGTTATGACTTGATTTTAATAATTTTAATATTTTTATTCTTAAATAAAATGAACATCTAAAATAATGATTGTATACAATTGAAATTTTAACACATAAAAAATATAGGTAATACATACAAACATAAAAACAACAATTTAGAGGTATTTTAATTGCCTCCTTGCCTGTGTGTGGTATAGTATTGCAAGTAAGATCGTAGGTTCAGCTGCATCTGCACTCATGAAATAGACTATAAATGGCTTTTAATAACTCTAAGTGGTTCCAAATAAAATAGTTAATAATATAAAAATTCAATTTTCTTAGTTTCTTCAAGAAACTTTCTTGACCCATTACTAGTATTATTTTGGGTCGAGAAAGTTTCTTGAGGAAACTAAGAAAATTCAATGTTTACCTTACTGTTTAGCCTGGTTTGCTAATTCTGGTATTTGTAATACAATTTGCGGTGCATTCTTGGTTGCATAGTATGTACCGATTGCGGCAAAGGCTACGTCTTCAGACGATGTGGATCACGGGATGTTCTTACATCTCGCTTCGGTGGGCTTACGTGGGCAGTATAAGCTAGGGTAGTCTTTTGTTTTCAGACCCAATATAGGTCGAAACAGCTGTTTGTCGGTATTTGGTTGAACGTACACAAAACAAAAACTCTGGCGAGGTAAAGGTTTAATTTGTCTCTAGTTAATAATATTTAATAATAATAATTAACATTTTGCAACCTTTTAAGAAAATTCATTGGCTGTTCTGGAAGTACACGTTTTTTTGGAAAAAGGTATTTGCTGGGTAACTATTTAGTTCTAGATCAAACATGCAACGCAAGATTTGTATTTTTCTATTAAGTTTCAACTTGCATGTTATAAAAAAACATGATTAATGATTAATGAGTATTGCGACTTCTACTTTGAAAAACGCAATAAATCAAAAGTGCAATTTTAATTTAAAATTCAGTATATACATTTATACCATTTTCTTATGTGGTTTTGGTAGAGCAAACCAACCCAACGTGTAATTAACTTGCAAATTTCGATAGCACAATTAATCATAAGATGTGGCTTAATTATTATTTTCACTAAAGGAACATGTTGTCGTCAACAATTGTTCCCGCATTAATTTTATGTTTGTGGCATTTAAAGTTCGCGCTCGGTGTGATTAATTCGCAAAATCTCAGCATGGCGCAGACTGTCACGATAAACATGCACGATTCCTCACTTTAAGTCACTCGGAATAGGGAATATTATTGAGAACGTCATGTTAACATGCTATTTTACAATTTATATCACTTACAAATTACCGCGAATTATGTAATAAAT